GGCAGTGAGCAAGCTGCTGACAAATCGGTCTTTTCGTGAAGTGGTCCTGAGTAAGATGATGGCAGAGGCACCTTGGCAAGACAAGAAGTTGGTGCAGGGGTATCATGGAGAGCTCCTGTCTTGGCGATGGGAATCCTTGCACCAGACCTTGAAACATTACTTGAACGTCAGGCCAGTACTTTCCAAATACTGGGACCGGGAACAGTTGTCCTCAGAGGCCAGCTTATGCGATGCTGTCGATGGTGCCTTGAAAGATCCCTTTCACCTGGGTTATGTTGAGTGGGCTTGGATGTTTTCCTGCTTTATACAGAAGTGGGCCCACTGGTTTGAGGGATGCTTTTGCCATGAGGAGCAGCTTCAGCGAGCCAAAACCCGAAAGGCCAAGGTCAGCCTCAAGTGCTGTTGGAAAGGGCGTCGATCGTGTGTTCTTTCTGCCGGTTTCACCGAGCGATTGCTGGCAAGCATCCAGCGACTGACCAGCACAAGCTACACCCAAACCGTGCTGGAGTTGCCCTCCGAGGTTGCGGCAGGCATGGCGCTCATGGACCAGCAGGCCCGTGACAAGTGGGTTTCGATCATGTCGGAGAAGCTGCAGTATCTTTCCCACGTGCCCTTTAGTCTGGCAGGGGCTTATGCTCACTATGCTAGGCCGGACTTGTACGATCTGCAGCACAGCAAGCGGATTGTCCTGGACTGTTTTGAGGAGTACCGATCTCTCAAGGAGCAGGGTCGCAGCACCTGGTTGCTGCAACATTTGTTTGAGAGACAATCGCCAGGGGGCCTGGCCGATCAGCTCTATGCCTTTGCACAGAGTGGCGAGGAGGCCAAGCTGGAGCACTTCCCCTTGGCTTGGGCCGAGATCCAGGAGAGGGCCTTCTGTAGCCTAGTTGAGCGAAGTACCGAGAGGCAACACGTGCTTATCAAGATTGCTGGGCGACGAACCTTAAGAAACCAAGGGCCTGCCATGACATGTGTTCGTGCTCGACGAGCACAGCTGCTGGATATGATCGCCAAGCCAGAACAGTGTGGTTTTCTGCTGCAGATGTGGCAGAGAAAACACATCATGGCAGAGTTGCTGTCTCATCTCATGACAAAGCATGAGGCCTTTCAGAAGACGCAGACATACAAGGTTGCTCGCATCTATTGCTATCATGAGGCCGATCACTTTATGCAAGAGGAGGAGCTTGGGGCGGAGAAGGCAGCAGACGACTTGCACACAGCCACGAAGCGGGCTTTGTGTGCCGGAGCCGAAGACAATGTGCAAGCCCGGGGCCTGCAGCGGAAGCAGTGGATGATTGTGGACTATCTGAAGAGCCAGCTGCAGACGGGCGTTCTCTTCAGCTTGCCACATGCCTTGTTCGAAGCATTGCTTCTTGGCACCGAGTCAGACGCTCTGCAGCCCGAGGTGCAGCTCACTCTTCAAGACTTTGCCGAGGCTCTGATGCCGGCCGACATCCCGGAGAACCCAGCAGAAGATCGGATTTATGGCTACATTCTGGATTCTCGGCCGGAGCGGCGTGCCCAGCAACGGGGCGTCGCAGAGGTCGATCGCAGGTGCCATCTGAAGGTGTTGCGTTTTCTCAACGTCGACATTCGTGACCCACTTAAGCCTGTTGTGACTTACAGTTCTGTGCAGCAGCACACTTTGGACCTGGCATTGTTTGCGACTCCAGAGGGCCTCGGCCTGCTGAGCTCCCAGTGCCTGTGTTGGGCCTCCACAGCGAAGACAGTGCAAGTGCAGGTTATGGTGCCCCCAGGGCATGAGAGCCAACTTGAGGCCATTGCAGCACAGCCTGCTGCAGCACTGCAGCTGCCGGATTTTGTCACAGACGACGACCTTGTGCTGGATGCGTTCGCAGCTGGCCCGGAAGCAAACAATCTCTTGTCTGCACAAGTCCAAGAGCAGCAGGCAGGCCCAGTAGCAGTAGCGGCAACTGGGGCCTTGTTGTCACGTGATCAAGAGGATTTCTTGCAAGCCTTGCTGCAGGCCCGAGCATTAGGTGACAACTATGTGCAGGTTTTGCATCTGCCGTACTTCAATGCCAGAGCATGCCAAGCACTGCTCGCCCAGGGTCTTGTTCAAGCACGTGAGGATGACTTTGGGGACATGTTGGTGGCGCTCAGTGATGCCACAAAGCTCACGAGTGTAGTGTGTCTAGAAAACCCTGTCCTGCTGTGTGATGATGAAGTGGTGATGCAGAACCCAGCCGGCCGAAACAAATTGGCATGGCTCAAGAAGCTGCTGCAGGCAGATTGGAGCACTGACGAACAACCCGGAGAGTGGCACAAGCAAGGAGATGAGAACCACTTGCCGGAAAAAATACTGGATAGGCCCGAGTCTCATTTCAAAGCGTTGTGCTTTCAGGATGCTATTTGGGAAAAGCCTGGGGAGCTCCGACAAATCTCTCATTCGGGCAGTGCTGCGTATTACGAGATGCTGCTGCAAGAGGCAGATCTGTCTGGAGTGCAAGACTGGACTTTGGCACAATGCCAAGGCTTCACGGCATCTCGAAAGCGAAGGGTGAGGCCTCGTGCACAGACTGCACCTCTCAGGTTCTCCCTGGACCTCCCAAGTCTTCCTTCCCAAAATTGTCGCATCCCGGGGATGAGTGATTTCGTTGTGCATTTTGACAACTGGACTCACACAAGTGGCCACAGACGAGCTTTCATCCAGTGCCGGGACCCCCGGCATGGCAACTGCCGGCGATACACATTCCTGCGATCTCATGCCAGCCAGGCCACAGCCGTGGCCTGGCTTTTCGCTTGGGTGCAGGCGGCCCATCAGTACGCCACGTCAAAGGATCATGTGGCCTTCAATCCTGCTGATGCCGTAATTGAGAGAGTGCAGGAGAGGCAGCGTTTGGGTGCCTGAAAGTTTTGAAAAGTCTCAGAAGCCAAAACTCAGAGACCCTAAACCCTAAACCCTAAACCCTAAACCCTAAACCCTAAACCCTAAACCCTAAACCCTAAACCCTAAACCCTAAACCCTAAACCCTAAACCCTAAACCCTAAACCCGACATGCGTTTTGCTTGAATGATTTTTTTGTCGCGCCAAGCCTTGGCTCAAGCTGATGGGTGTGTGGTGGGTAGTGAGCCCGACAGAGGCCAGCGGGCATCTGTGCTTTTTTGTCGGGTAGAGGGTTTAGGGTATAGGGTTCAGGGTTCTTGCTCCCTGTACCCTAGCCCTAAACCTTTCACCCTGAACCCTAAACCCTAAACCCTAAACCCTACACCCTAAAACCTGACATTTCGCAGAGCCGTTGCCGGACTGTGGTCAGAGGCCGGGGTCCTTGTTGGGACCTGCAGGCGCTGACCACAGTGTCTGGGCATGCAGGCGGCGAGGGGGGGGGAGTGGCCTGTTCGCAGAGCCGGCGCCCTAGTGTGGTCAGAGGCCGGGGCCTGTTTTCGGGCCTGCAGGCGCTGACCACACTGGGCATGCAGGCGGCGAACAGGTGGAGTGGCCAGAGCCGGTGCTCTAGTGAGGTCTGTAGTCTGTAGCTCCAAAAACAACCCAAGCCCAAAGGCCTAAACACCCAGTAGGTTTTTAAAGAGACACTTCCTTGCCCTGCAGGTACGGTCCAGCATGCCAGCGCCAAAGGCGATGGCGATGGATGGACGTGATGGTGGCCGCGGTGGCCGTGAAAGCTCTGGCTCTGACGAGGAGGAGCAGAGAGGGGATGCCCCAGAGCCTGGTGAGCCTGCACCAGAGGCGGGGGCAGAGCAGCAGGAGGAGGCCAGAGAAATGGTAGAAGAGCCAGACAAGGAAGATCTGGAGTCCAAGAGGCGAAAGGGCCGGTCAGGGTCAGACTCTGAAGAGAAGAAAGATGGAGAGGCCTCTGAAGAGAAGAAAGAAGAGGCACGGGCGCCGTCGCCAGCACGCTCCAGAAGCAGAGGCGGCCAGGATTTGTTCGGCCCTTTCGGGCAGATCAGCCTTCAGAATTTCGGAGCTCCAGGCGGCTGAGCCAGCCTCCTGGTGGAAGGAAGAGAAAGTAAAGTGCCCGGCCTGTTGGTCCGTGAAACCGCGGTCCACCATGGCCTTGCACTTGCAGACCAACGCGTACTGCAAGCAGTGGCAAGCACGCGCTCAGGGTCAGGAGCTGAGGCCGGAGCACTCTTGCCCGCACTGCCAGAAGACCTTCTGGCGCTCCTGGGACCTGGAGCAGCACTTACACCGCTGCTCCAGCCAGCCTCCTGCGGAGCCGAAGGAGCCGCCCCAGCGAGAGAGCAGGGCAAGGGCGGAGGTCAGGGCTTCCAGGGAGGAGAGAAAGGCTCGGACCAGGGCAACAAGTGCCCCTCCTGTCCGTGGTCGCTCGGTCCGTGCCTCACAGAAGAAGAAGGAGTCGAGCTCGTCGTACGAGTACTACACAGACGAGTCCGAGGAGACCAACAAGCAGAGCATGGTCCGGTTGCAAAGTGCGCCACGTGGCAGGGAAGCGCCACGTGGCAGGGAAGCCCACGTGGCAGGGAAGCACCGCGTGGCAGGGAGCAAGGGTCACGTGGCAGTGAGCAAGAGTCACGTGGCAGGGACGAGAAGCCTGCAAAGCCTGACAAGGCAACAAGGACAGCGCAGGGCACTGTCACAGAGCCCGAGCCCAGCACAGGTGGGGCCAGAAGCAGCACGGAAGGTGGTGCTGCTGAGCAGACAGAGCAGTCGCAGCGGCTTCAGGCATTCAACAGGCTCCTGGCCCTGGGCGAGAAGATTCTGTAGGTTTTTGCTGGTGTGCCGTCCGGAGACAAGAGCCGGATGGGACACGGGCACGGTGGCACTGGCTGGCAGCACTTCGACAGCGAGAAAAAAGGGAAAGCGAGCCTGATGAGGGTTTTCAGGGCTTTCCGGGGCCTGGAGTGTTGGTTGCAGGGGAAAAGGCCTCAGCACAAGGGTTTTTGTGTGGGAGGGTGTCCCTCCCATGTCCCTCCCGGTTGGGGTTTTTATTTAAATTATGTATTGGGGGTGTCTCTCCCGTGTCCCGTCCCGCCCCCGTCCCGCCCCCGTCCCGCCCATGTCCCGTCCTGTCCCGCCCGTGTCCCGCCCACGTCCCGCCCACGTCCCGCCCACGTCCCGCCAGTGTCCCGCCAGTGTCCCGCCCATGTCCCGCCCCTGTCCCGCCCCGTCCCGCCCGTGTCCCGCCCTGTCCCGCCTTGTCCCGCCCGTGTCCCGTCACCGTCCCGCCCTGTCCCGCCCTGTCCCGCCCCTTTCCTGTCCACGTTCCACGTCCTGTTCCGCCTTGTCTCAGTTCGAACCGGCCCCAGACCCCCCAAATCCCCCTTAACCCCCCTCTCACTTGTCATGAATGCTTGTGTTACAAGATGGCTTGCAGGCATGTTGGCATGGATACGGTTTAGGGTTTAGGGTTTGGGGTCTAGGGTTGAGGGTTAAGGGTTAATGGTTTTGCGGTTTAGGGTCTAGGGTTTAGGGTTTTGGGTTTAGGGTTACAGCGTGTGACATGCTGTGTGGATACATAGAGTCTTGCGTTTGTGTGCTAGAGCTCATCACAGCAGCCACAGGCTGTGTCATCATGGCAGAGCAAGAAGGGCAGTGCCAACACAGCCCTGAATCTGGTGTAAGTCTGGAGCAGGTCGCATTCCGAGCAGGACGAGTGTTGAGACTGCTCGGAAGACCTTTGCGGGTCACAGAACCATGTGTGGGCCTGGGAGGCCTGCGAAGACTGTGTGAGTTGTCTCACAGTGAGCACTGCGAGACCCAGGCCTTTGACACAGAGGCTTCACTGGTAAGCTACTACAGAGGACTGGTCAAGCACATTGGAGCAAGGGGCTTGGATAGGATGAAGCTTGGAAGCGACGGAGACATCCTGAAGCTTCCAGTCGAGACTTTGCAGCCCTCAGAAGTTTTTGCAGCAGGGCCACCGTGCGGGCCGTGGGCAGCCACAGGGGCTCGAATGGGGACAGCAGATAGTCGAAGCGATGTGATGGACACATGTGTGGCTTGGATCATATTCCAGGCGTGGCAGGGCCAGCTTGTGGCATTTGTGCTGGAGAACTCCCGCTTGCTCAAGGGAACCCAGTACCTGGAGGAGATTTTGAGTCGTCTCCAGTTCTGTGTGCCTTTCTTCCGTATCGAGGCACAGGTGCACAATCTCAAGACGATCTTCCCCCATGACAGGGAGCGTTTGTGGATCCGGGGGATGCGCAGAGATTGCCTGGGCCCGGAGGCATCTTTACCAGTGCCACTCACTGCCAAAGACTTGGGAGGGCATGTGGACATCAGGACCTTGATCGAGTCCACAGTGCCCCCAGTGGGCCCTGCCTCATTGAGCCACCGAATGCGGTGCAACCTTGCTGCCTACATCGCACGGATTGAAAAAGATGTGCTGGCAGGCAAAGCAGGGACCGTGGCCGTGGTGGAGCTAGACCGAAGTCCATTGCGTGATTACGGGAAGCAGGTTCTCTATGATCTGATCCCGCCCCTTCGCACTGCTGGCCCCAAGTTGTTCCTGCTCTTGTCAGGGGAGGTGAAGAACTGCTTGCCGTGGCAACAGCAGCGACTTCACAGGTTCGTGACCCCAGAGGAGCGCTTCATGTTCCAAGGCCACAGCGGCCTGGCGTGTCGTATGTTTGATAACAAGACTGCCGCCTTGAAGGCAGCAGGGAACGCTTATCATCCCCTGCATTTGGCTTCCATGCTGTGCCCAATGCTGGAGCAAGCATACATCTATGGTGCTTTGCCAGAAGAACCGACCAGGCTGAGCACCCAGGAGCTGCACGAGTTGATTCCTGCAGTGACACCCGGGGAGTCGTTTCATAACCCTGCTGAGGCTGAAGGTTTCCCCAATGTCTTCTGTCAAGATGACATCGAAGAGTGTGAGAGCATGATCAAGAAAGGCAAGCAAGCTTCAAGGAAGTTTGCAGCCTCATGTGTGGACAAGAAGGGGTCTGAAAGCTCCAGTGTGCATGGTGCAGGGCCAGCCAGTCACAGGGCAGGGTTGGACCTAAAATCTGAAGTGAAGGCTGAAGTCAAGCAGGAGCCCATGTGCAACCCAGCAAGGCCACAACAGCGAGGGTGCTGGCCCCAAGGCTCCCTGAAGAGAGGCTGCAAGGTCGTGAACTTGGCAAGTCCCCAAAGACGAGTCCGGGGCAAGTCGGTGCTGTACACTGACAGAACTGATTGAGAGGATGCTGCAAGCGTTGCCAACAATTCGTAATTTACAATAGGTGTGGGTGGCCGTCTGAAGCCACCTGCTTGACTTTGCACGTAGCCTGTAGAAACAGTATGGCAGCACATAGACAGGGCCAGGGTGCTCGAGCGGTTATCCAATGCAGGAATGCGGAGTGAGGCAAAGGGGGCCAGGTGTGTGTAGGCGTGCTTCGTTTGCACCGGTGACTTTGCAAGCTTTGTGTCTGTGTGCTGAGCGGATACACTTCTGCCGTCTCTGGTTCTGGAGCGGAGTGTGTGTGTGTGTGTGTGTGTGCTGTGACCTGTGTTCTTTGTAGCTGCTCCACAAAGCCATGAGCAACACACCGACACCAAGTGAGGCGTCCAGCAGCCAAGTTGGAATTGCTCCTGCACTGCTGTGCCAGAAATGTGGTGAAACCACAAACATGGCCAGTAGCTGTGCTACTGGCCGAAACCCTTTGTTGCGAGCCTGCAACAGCTGTTTGGCAACGGAGAAGTGGCTGAACAGAAGCCTGACCAAGCCCAAGGGCCGAGAGGAAACGGAAGAGGAAAAAGGACGCCGACTGAACGCACAAAAGGTGAAAGATGAGCTGAAGGCCAAGACACCGGAAGACAGGAAGAAGTGGTATGCAGAACAAAAACTTTCCCGAGCCCAGGAAGATCACCGAACGAAACGTACCTTTAGCTCTGCAGTTGGTCATGTAGAGGAAAGAAGGATTGCCTCATCCTTCAGAGACAATCTGGATGTCTACGTGCCGTTCAGAATTTGGGCAGCTCAAGAAATGTCGCTCAAGGTTTACAACACTTTGCGGGAGGCCGAGGCAGGCTGGGAGAAACTCCTGGCAAACCCAGCTACCTTGACCGTGCAGAAGAATGGCCAGACCTGTGTGAAGCAGTTCCACGGGGTGGAGGTGCGACAACGCGATGGCCACGAGTTCCAGTCAGGACTGAGGCAGAGAATGGATATCTCCGACGAGAAGGAGCTGGATGAATATTTGGAAGAGAATGAGAGCCGATTGAAGCGAGCAAAGAACAGGCTTTCGGTCGAGGCCAAGGCAAACGAGGAAGAAGGGGATGATAAAATCATCCCTCTGCTCACTGTCCGCAAAGACTTGGGGCAGCTGAAAGAGATTGAGGAAGCAAGGGATGCAGAGATGCATGCCCAGGCCGCTGCCATCGCAGAGAGAAAAGCCAAGGAAGCAAAGCAGAAGAAAGAGAAAGAAGAGAGCCAGGAGAAGTCCCTGCCCCTGGAGAAGCTGGCACTGCAGTCTGCAAAGGGAAAGGCAGTGCAGACCATGACAAATGTGCTTCTGAGGCTGCAAACAGTTTACAAGACCTTGGAAGAGGAGGCCAACAAGCTGACAGAAAATGAAGGCGAAGACATCAAGAGGGAGCAGGCTGCCAAGTTCCGGTGTGTGGCCCAAGCCTTGCAGACCCTGGAAACCTCCATCAATGAGAAGGACAAAGCTTGGGAGCATGACGCAAGCCAAACCCAGACTGCGGAAGAGCTGGCTGCCCTCAGGCAGCAAATCACCGAGGCGACAAAAAACTTCCACACAAGCTCTGAGGACTCCAAGGCAGCGAAAGACACGATCACGGATGTGAGGTGCTGGCTGAACAACACAAAGAAGGCAATCCGAGACGCCGAGAAAGCAGCCCAGAAAACAGCTGCTGGGAAGAAGATTGCCAAAGTTGCTGGCAGCAACACCCTGGACCAGCTGGGCCTGGCCTTGGCCAAGGACTGCAGGAGCATGACAGAGTCACATGGCGACATCTCCTACACCCTCGATGTCAAGAATATCTTGGCGGGAGGCCCACCCTGTCTCCTGGATACGAATCGCAGCCAGCAACTGCGAGATACGGTTTTTGGCCTGGACTACTACAAGCTGCAGAAGACATGGGTGGCAGAGAAGATGAAGTTCGTGCAGGGCAGCAGTTGCTCTGCCATCGTGTCAAAGAAAGCTGTGGCCGGCAGGCTGGGCCAGTTGTTGCAGAAGTCGTGGCCCGACATCCTGGGCACAGACACACTGCGAGGAGTTCCTGCCGAGGCACAGGACCATTTCGTGATTCAGTTCGCCCAGAGGCACAACAACACCGGAAGTCTCTACGCGCGAACAGAGCTGAACTGCCCAATGTTGCTGCTGCTCTTGGAGGGGGACTTGGCAGTTGGAGGGTTCCGTCCTGACAGGCTGGGTGGCAAGACCCTAGCCGAGGAAGTGAGGAAACTGGAAAGCATGACAGCTACACAGATCCGACTGGAAGCGGAAAATCATGGCTGGATGGTCAGGCTGAAGCCTGGAGCAAGCATTCTGATTCCCTCCAACTGCGTGTGGTTTGAACTTTCGGGTGACGATAGCGAGAATCACAGCATTCGCCAAGTGATTGGACGAGAGGCCTTCGTACCTCCAATGCTCCAGTGGCTGGAGCAGATGGACAAGGAGGGTAGCCTGGCACAGAACGAGGCCTTGGTGAAGCTCAGAGCCTTCCTTCAGTCACAGACTCAGGCAGTGTGAAGCCTTCGATCCAACTCGAGGGCAAGATCCAAGGGTCACAACCGTGAGATTTTCCAACAGACTCACGGTATTTTTGGGGTGAAGCCCTCGATCCATCTCGAGGGCAAGATCCAAGGGTCATAGTGTTTGAGATTTGTCAGACTCACGGGCCATCAAAAAAAAAACCCTCAGCACAGGCTCAGACAGGGTGAAACCTCGATCCAACTCGAGGGCAAGATCCAAGGGTCACAACCGTGACAAAACAGACTCACAGTGCTTTTCCAGTGAAGCCTTCGATCCAGTTCGAGGGCAAGATCCAAGGGTCCTGTCTGAGGTTTTGCCAGACTCACAGGCCAGCAAATACGATAGCCAGAGTAGCCAGATTTGAGCAGAGTTCGAGATCCTCGAAGCCACAGCAAATAAGATCTAAAGTGCCAGCAGTCAGCGGGGCTAAGTACTTAGGTACTCTTCTCAACTGTCAGCCTACCACTGCAGGGACAATATCCAATGCTGTGACTTTGCGAGGTGCTGTGTTGCACGAGGCTAAAGATGGCATAGCACAGATACCGAGGCCGAGCGAGTGGAAAGTCCGAAGACCAAGGGCCGGAAAGCATTTAAAAAATCATGTGCTGTGTAAGGTTTGTGAAAGCTAGTCAGCTGACGATCTAGGTGCCAGCAGTCAGTGGGGCTAAGTACTGTTCTCAACTGTCAGCAGCCGGAGACTGCAAGGCCGATATCCAATGCTGCGAGTCTGCGAGTCTGCGAGGTACTGTTTTGCAAACACAGATGCCGAGGCAACATGATGGGAACGGGTCCCAAGCCCAGGAAAAACATGAACAAACGTATATGCTAGAATGGTGCCCGTTGCGAATGGATGTGCAATGTGTTGACAGTCAGGGCGCATGCTGCCCAGCACTGCCTGTCAGATGTGCAGCATGCATGTTGTCGCATTGCAAGGGTGATAGACCAGTGAGATAGGAAATAAGGTGCTCAACACTTCTCATGTATTCTCATTCTCGACACTGTGTGTTAGACCATCGTCAATGGCCAGCTCCGAAAGGGATGATACTGCAATCGCAGCACAGCAAGCTCTGCAATCAGTGGGAGACACCAAAAGCCAAAGACCCGGACCTGCGATACTGCCGACTGCAGAGCCTTGCGAGGTTCAAGGCATCAGACGCGGGGTCAGGAGAACCTTCGAAAAGGATGACAAAGATTTGGAAATCACTTGTTTGGAGAATGAGGTGGAAGACCTCAAGTGTGCTTTGAAGCGAACTCGACTTCTGGCAGATAGCCAGGAAAAGACCATCTCAGTTTTAACGACAAAGAAAGCTGAGTTGGAGAGTGACTTGTCTGAAACAAGACAGAAGCTTCAAGCAGCTGAGAAAAGGCTGTTGCGACAGGATGCTTCGAGTTCGCAGGGCCTGGACAAATTCAGGTTGGTCTCCAGTCAGGGCATGCAATCTTTGTTTGGAGACACTGCGACCAGAGCAAAGCCGAACCCTTGACCCATGTTTCAAGTATTTCAAGTTTCTCATTTCGGTCCTTGAAAGGAACGATTAGTTTTGCGAGCTAGAAGAGAAAAGAAAAGAGCACGGGTAGTTCAAGTCCTGGGGTCCAGGGTGGTGGTGGGTTTTTAAAGACTTTAAACACAAACCAGCTCCAAACACCTAAACCCTCAATTCCATACTTGGGGTGGATTCAAAGGGTAAAACATCTTCCGAAACCCAGTGACAGAATGTCAATAGCTGCAGTTTTGTCACAATGCCCGGGAAGTCGGTTGGCGAAGACAATATGCTTGCAGGTCAAGGACTTGGGGTTCAGTCCAACTTCCTGGTTGCATGGTTGGAATGGTGGGACAGGAAAAGCAAACCATGTCATTGGCAACTAGCCTTTGTGCAGAATGATTCCCGCAACATTGCGACAAATACACAGCAATAGCCAGGCAGAGAGCACATGTTCAACATAAGTTCAAGCAAAAAAACATGCATCATCTGCAAGCGTTCCGTTTTGCGTGGAAGAGAAACAACACACAATATGTGCCAACAGGTGCAGGTTTTTGAGTTGGCATAGTATATGTTCTGGAAATCTTGGTTTCAAAACCAATGAATTCCCTGTTTCAGGGACCTGCCCAATGCCAGAACGAAGTGTTCTGCTTTGAAACAAGGTGCCAAGCCCGAACCGTTAACCAGTTTTTCAGCTCTCTGGAGCAAGTGGGGTCCAGAGCCCAAACCGATCACGGAAATGTATGCAAAATTTCAGGGGGTTTGGCGGACCCGGTCATTAGGGCAACGACCATACTTTCCCCTGCAGTGCCTGATATACGACACGTGCATGGCTCGAACGATCTCCTCCGTCGTCAACATTGCAGAGTCGAAGAAGGTGTCTCCCGAACAGATCGCATCCGACATGGACACCTTTCAGGTGTACTGGCAGCAGCAGGTGGAGAAGATGGAGGACATCTGTCGGCAGGAGGCCGGGGCCAGCGGACGTGTCGAGGATGGGTTGCCGACGGTGTTCTTCACCATCTCGCCGGCCGAGTGGAGGTACGTGTTGCACGAGGGCATGTTTCCCGAAGGCGACCTCAGCGACCAGCAGAGCCTGCTGACCTTGCATCTGTACCACACGCTCGAGGCCATGCTGGGACTGCACCTCTTCAAGGAAGGTGTCAGCCTGGCTCGGGTCGGCGTTGCGAAAGTCCGGCAGTGGTCCCTGCGTTACGAGTTTCAGTCACGAGGCACTCTACACGTGCACTGTCTGCTGTGGGCGGACTTGCTTCCTGGCTGGACGGCGGAGAACGTCACTGCGAGGACGGGTGGCAAGGAGAGGTCGGCGTTCTTGATCCTGCTGGAGGAGCTGTTTCGCTCTCGAGCCGACGTACAGTGTGGCGACGGTCATCACCTCTTGCTCCAATACGTGGCCGGGTACGTCAGCAAGGCCTCCGATGCGCTGACCTTCAGGTCGAAGCAGGCGCAACATGACGGCGACGGATCTCGTTGGCGCCAGGTGTATCGACTGCTCTGCAAGAAGTCGCCGCTGGAGCAGGAGATGGTCATGGAGATGGCCGGCCTGTCGATGGCAAAGCATTCCTTCACGGGCGTGTCGTTGTTCCCTCCGATACCTGGCAGCAAAGCCGTCAACGAGTCCCGGGCGCACTACAACGCCTTCCAGCAGTTCCTGCACCGTGGCGCGGTCGTGGACGGGGCCGCCACCAGCATGTCTTACATGCAGTGGCTCCGCATGTTTCGCGTGGTGACGACGGATGGGAAGTCTGTGGTTCGACCCAGGAACGTGGCCGGACCGGGTCGAAACAAGAGCTGTGGCATAGGAATTCGCTTTCCCTTCGAGCTGCTGGACATCTTCGTGGGCGCCTGGGCGGCGTGCTTCCTCGAGAACATGCTCGAAGCTCGCCTGCGGCCGAGCACGGAGGAGGACGATGCTTACCCGGCCGGCTTCGACTTCGAGAAAGCTCGCAGGCGCCTCTTTCGAGCTCCCGAGGGTTGCGCGCACCTCAAGGCCGTGCTCTGTCTCGACGAGTTCCAACGTCGGGGGGCTCCGCCCGGAACGTTCGCCCCGGACACGGGCAGGCTGATAGCCGCCATCGAGGGCGACCTGATGTGCGTGGGCTCAGCGTGGATCGCATCGTCACCTTCAAGGCGAGAATCAACGCATGCTCCCTGCTGCTGCAGGGCAAGGATCCGTCGATTTGGTCCGCTAGACGCCCGGCCGGGCTCCCGCAGAGGCAGTGGTCGCCCGAGCAGGCGCAGGTTCTGGGCCGCATCAGGGAGGGCCTGCGTGTAGGCGATGCCGGTGTCATGGCAGACTCCAGACGAGTCCTGCGCGTTACCGGCGGGCCGGGCACGGGCAAGACGGAGGTGGTCATCGGAGCGGTTCAGGCGGCGCTCGAGGACGGTTGCCGGGTACTGGTGGCTGGACCGATCGGCCTGCTCATGTCCATGTACAAGCTGCGGCTGCCTCCCAACGAGAATCTGGTCATGGAGACGATCCACGCAGCCTTCAAGGTCGTGCGGGATGCGGACGCACAGTACATTCCTCCGGGAAGGCTGCGAACTTTCGACCTTATCATCCTGGACGAGGTCAGTCAGATCGATGCAGCGGTGTGGAACTGTCTCAAGATCGCCTTGGGGGAGCTGAGGCCGTTGCCGTTCATCGTCTTCGTCGGGGATTTCCAGCAGCTGCAGCCTACAGTGGGGCGACCGCTGCTGCAGCAGAACCTGGAGCAGCAGGTTCGGGATGGCACCGTCTTCGCGGTGGAGCTGCGACAGCACGAAGCCGCCCGTTCTGCCGATCCCGTGATGCTCGACTTCCTGCAGCGAGCCAGAGTCCGCCAGCCGAGCAGGGACGCCCTTGGAAGGTTTTTCGCGGGCAGGATCTGGCCGTCGGACCTCAACCTGGCGACCGCCAAGGCCAAGGAGCTGGAGGCCTCCGAAGGCGGCAGCTTCACCTTCCTCACCGTGACGAATAAGGGAGCCCAGGACATTAACATGGCGTGCCTGGCTCGTGATTACCCGGAACAGTACCGGGAACTGCGGAGCGGCGGTGGCGTGCCGGGCCAGACGGGTCGTGTCGCCCGGCATGAGGCTGCGGCTGACGCACAACGTGGACAAAGACAGGGGCTTCGTCAACGGTGCCATGGGCGTGGTCCAGGAGGTTCTTCGGAAGGACGTCTTCGTCCTCATGACAGGGCAGCAGGTGCCCGTCTTGGTGCACCCCATCACGTACAAGGGCAATAAGTATTTGCCGGTTTCCTATGGCTGGGCGACCACCATTCGGCGGGTGCAGGGCGCCACACTGGACAAGGTCGTGCTGTACTTCAACCGGCATCTGGCGGATCGCGGCTACGCCCACGTGGGGGCTTCTCGTGCCAGGAGAGCCGTGGATGTGTATCTCATGGGGCGAATTCGGCGAACGGACTGGCTGGCTGTCAACTCCGACCAGGCCGACGAGCAGACGGTTCTCTCGGCGCTCAGCGATAGCTCCGCCTCCGACGACGACTACTTCCCGTCGGACCCGGAAGCGGACTCCTCCGACCCCGAGCCGGCCGACTCCGACTTCGATCCCTGCTCCGAATCTGAGTCGGAGTGAATCCGCACCGAGGGGTCAGTGTGAGACGTGCGATCACGTCACGGACGAATTGTTCTATTGCATCGGATGTGCACCGACTGTCGGCTAAAGGGAACGGCACGGCAGGTAAAGCTTTAGGCAACGGAGTCCAAAGCAGTCGGACCGAGCATCTGGGTTTCACGGCGAGCTCGCCGCGGCCTAAAGTGTAGCGGCTGTGATCGAATCTGCAACGACAGCCGGCAGAAAACACGTCCTCCGCCGAGTGAGGGTTTAAGAGCGGGACTGGAAACGTAGCTGCCGGGGGATGAAGAGGATTAGATTATTTTCCTAATGGTGTGGGACCCAATGGGCGGGTGGGTATTCCCCTGTGGCCTTGAAAGCTGCTCAACTAGTGAATGCTCGAACTTGAGATGCTGAACCTTAAACCCTAAACCCTAAACCCCGAAACCCTAAACCCCCTACCCTAAACCCCATACCCTAAACCCTAAACCCCATACCCTAAACCCTGAACCCTCTCAACCCTACAAACCCTATAAACCCTATAAACCTTACAAACCCTATAAACCCTATAAACCCAATAAAACCCTCAAAAACCCTACAAACCCTACAAACCCCCAAGGCGCTTTAGGCCCGAAAGCGCGGGGAAGGCCTCCCACAAGGTTTAGGGTTGAGGGGCCTCGAGTGTTGCGATTTTTTTGTTGCAGGATGATTCTTTTCAACTTTGGGTTTCGGGTTTAGGGTTTAGGGTTTACAGGGTTGAGGGGGATGATTATTCTTCAACTTAGGGTTTTTGGGTGTTTCTGGTTTCGGGCTTTTAGGGTGTAGCTGAGTAGGTGGCCTGGGGAGGAAGGCTGAGGGAAGGGGGCCCTTGGACTACCATGGAGCTTGACAAGTCTTGAGCTGAGGAACTTGGTGCCAATGCTTAGAACTGGCCGGAGCCCAAGCCGGGCTTGTTGCAGAGAGACCCGGAACCCTAGAATCAACCCTGTAAACCCCATAAACCCTATCAACCCTCAACTCCATAAGTTCTTCAAGCAATATAAACCCTGCAAACCCTACATACCTGTAATCCCAGAAAATCCCTATAAATCCTATACGCCCTAACCCTAGACCCGACTGCGCGGATTGAATGGATGGCTTTGGAGACGCAATCAGAGCTGCCGGTTTCTGCGATGGTGCCCCCCCCCCCTCGACAAGAAAATCGCGCGCGCGCGCGCAATCGCGCACGCGCGTAAACCCCATACCCTAAACCCTACTAAACCCTACTAAACCCTACTAAACCCTACTAAACCCAACTAAACCCTCAGAGTGCGCAAGTGAATGGCACGCTCAGGACGTCGTGATGAGCACTTCGATCCTCAGGCTCACGAGCTGAGGATGTAGCAGTCGTTCCGGTTTAGGGTTTAGGGTTTAGGGTTTAGGGTTTAGGGTTTAGGGTTTAGGGTTTAGGGTTTAGGGTTTAGGGTTTAGGGACTGTTGATCCACACGTAGTATCTCGGTGACAAAGGGCCATGCATGGCTAAGGTTTGTGTTGTTTTTTATTGCGGTTTTTGAGCTGTGAAAGCTCTTTGCGCCTAGTTGGAGGTTCATGGCTACTTAAAGTGGGGAGTAGAAGCAGTTATGGAGACTATAGAACCGTATTTAGGCATTCTTAGAACCCTGCTTTTGACTATCCACGGACCTCCAAGTAGGATGCCTAGGACTACAGAAGGACGGGAGCGCCAGATTTGGGTACGGCTCGGGGTGTCCAGCACGTGTTGCGAATCGCGAAGGTGCAGATGAGGTGCCTGTTAGGGTCTTAGGGGTACAGGCTTCATATTTAGGGTTTATAGGTTTAGGGTTTAGGGCTTGTAGGTATCATCTACCTCACGAAGTTATTTTGGTATTCTGCATTTCCCCGGTGTGTTTAGCAGGACTTGCTCTCACAGGGTTTGATAGCTTCGGGTACGGAAGGCGGTTGATGCAGGCTCGAGGGCAATGTGTTCACTCCACCCTTTGCCCTTTACCTGTGATCTTGGCATGGATGCCTAGGAGGAATCCGATTTGAGGGTTTCGGGTTTAGGGTTTAGGGTTTAGGGTTTAGGGTCTAGGGGTTAGGGAGTAATCCGATTTGAGGGGGATTGGGATCCCTGGTGCTCAGCCTGAATCCTAACCATCCGAAATACCCTGGGTCCGAGGAGGGTGATAGGATGTAGGGTTCAAGCCCCGCTGTGCCCTAAGATGGTGAGACCCGAAAACCCGCAAACCCTACAGCCCCTAAAGCTTGGACCCGCACCTCAAGTTTCTTAAGGCCGTATGCCTACACTCTCAACCCCTCGCCCCCGAGCCCTAAGCCCTGACCCGAAACCCCAAAACCTATCCAAACGACGGTCGCCCCGTACCCTTCTTCCCTTTTTGCCCGAAGAAGGGGTCTTGTTTTTGATCATTGCTGCTTCTGTATTCAAAGGGACCATGGAAGTGATTTTAAATTATCTTTCACAGGCGTTTCCAGGAACTGCTCATGTTTCCAAGGCTAAACCCCCGAGCCTCACCCCGAGCGCGCTCTCTGTCGAGATTAGGTCTGCAATTTCTGCTCATGTCGCCAAAGGATCCCCTAATCTTCACGCCTTGTGGGCCCCTTTCTGGCACTAACCCGAAACCCTAAACCCTGAACCCTAAACCCTAAACCCTAAACCCTAAACCCTGAACCCTAAACCCTAAACCCTGAACCCTGAACCCTGAACCCTAAACCCTAAACCCTAAACCCTAAACCCTAAACCCTAAACCCTAAACCCTAACCCTGAAACCCCTAAACCGGGAACTGAGAAGGTGCTCCGAAGGCCCCCAAGTATCCTGGGAGACTAAGCCCGTATTCCTCTTGTTCTAGGGTATGGGGTTTGGGGTTTAGGGTTTAGGGTTTGGGGTTTGGGGTTTAGGGTTTAGGGTTTAGGGTTTAGGGTTTATGTTCCCCCCTACACTAACAGTCCTTAAGATAGATGATAGTAAGGGGGGCTGTTAGTGTGGGAGCATCCCAAGCTTGAGAGGTTCCCTTGGAAGCCCCTTTAGCCCCAAAAGGGCGCCCTTTCATTCCTAGCCCTAAACCCTAAACCCTAAACCCTAAACCCTAAACCCTAAACCCTAAACCCTAAACCCTAAACCCTAAACCCTAAACCCTAAACCCTAAACCCTAAACCCTAAACCCTAACAACCCCCTATGACCCTAGCAACCCCCTTTAACCCACTGAAAACGGATCAGAAGCCCTAAACGCGAAACCCTAAGCCCTAAACCCTAAACCCGAAACCCTAAACCCTAAACCCAAACCCCAAATCTCAAACCCTAAACCCTAAACCCCCTAAACCCTATACAGTTCTGTTGGGGTTTAGGACGGAGTCCCTTGCAGGGATGTCGGGCTTGGGGAGCTGGGGGGGCCGCGAGGAAGCACCTAGACCCCTAAACTCAAGGCATGGTTTGAGGGCCCCCAAGTGCCCCTAAACCCTAAACCCTAAACCCTAAACCCTAAACCCTAAACCCTAAACCCTAAACCCTAAACCCTAAACCCTAAACCCTAAACCCTAAACCCTAAACCCTAAACCCTAAACCCTAAACCCTAACAACCCCCTTTAACCCACTGAAAACGGATCAGATGGTTTGAGGGCCCCCCAAGTGTCGTGAAGTTGCGGGACCCGTTTGGGTACTTGAGCAGCCGGGCCGTACCGGCCGCCGAGAGAAGACGAGTCCCAAGTTGCAACGCCCTGACTCATTCGGTTTTAGGGTTTGGGGTCTAGGGTTTAGGGTTCAGGGTTTGGGGCTTCGGGTTTCGGGTTTTGGGGTTTTTAGGGTCGAGGGTTTAGGGTCTAGGGTCTAGCAGGTTTTAGGGTTCAGGGTCTTCGGGTTTTTAAGGGTTTAGGGTCTAGTGTCGTCGGGGTTAAACACTACAACCCTAGAACCCTAAATTACCAAATAGTCTCCGAGGTTTCAGATGTTCCCACTGGGCACGCTTTCCCTTCTGTAAAAAAATGGGTCCTAGGTTCTCCTTGCAAACTACTCACTGCAAAAAGAGGAGCCCTTGTATTTCTAGTTCGCGGGGGATCCCAGGAAATGCAAGCGCTGGATAGTATTGTAGCAGCCCACAAGAAGCAAGAACAAATCACAGTAGGAGAACGGCATGATGAAACCGGTATGCTGAACCCGATCCCCTACTTGACAGGAACTCATGATGGTACGGTTTCTAAGTCAAGATGGTACGTGCGGCCTAATCAACAGGCTTAAAATAGGGCCGCGATAACGCAATATAATATAGGCAAATTTAGTGTGTGTGTGTGCGACTTGAAATCACTTTGTTCATAAAATCATTCACTTCGTGTCACCACAAAATAGTATTATATTATGCGCTCATGAGTGCGCTAATACAGTTCATGCGTTCTTTCGCTTCTCTCTTCACTCTGTTCTCTATGCATGCGTCGTGTTCGCTGGCTCACTTACTCCTTATAATAGAGAATCTTTCTCTTTCAGAAAAAGAGTGGGGTGGAGAAACGCCCTATTAAAAACCTAACCCCAAACCCTAAACTTCCTAAACCCTAAACACTCAGCCCTAAACCCCAAAGCCTTGGCAGCCGCGCATTGGGATTGGGGTTCATTGAGTTCAGGGTTTCTGGGGGGGGGTTTGGGCTGGTAATGTTGTTCGGTTGAGTTTTGCTATGTTTCTTCTCCGCTCGTACCGTTAGTACTAGTAGTACTACTAGCACGACGACGACCACTACTACTATCACTACTGCTACTACTACTACTACTACTACTACTACTACTACTACTACTACTACTACTACTACTACTACTACTACTACTACTACTACTACTACTACTGCTGCTACTACTGCTACTACTGCTACTACTGCTACTGCTGCTACTGCTGCTACTGCTACTGCTATTGCTACTGCTACTACTACTACTACTACTACTACTACTACTACTACTACTACTACTACTACTACTACTACTACTACTACTACTACTACTAGTACTACTACAACTACTACTTCTT